AGCGGCTTGGCTGCTGAGATACCATGTAAAAAATTATGTATTATGATTGATTGTGATATTACAAGATTGTTGTCTTTACAATTCCTTATACAAGGTGTAGTATATAGAGAAAAATGTTGTAGTCAGTGTAGTGAATGGTGAAGGAGGGAAGTGAGTAGTTGCTGAAGTGAGTAGGTAGAAGTGGAATGTGTAGTGAGAGGTGAAGGTAGTGGAGTGTGTGCGTGAAGGAGGTATTGAAGTGAATGTTAGTGGAGTAGTGAGTAAAAGTTGGGACAATTTACATAATACATACAATTTTTCTCTCTCTTTCAATTTATCTTACCATGTATCAGAGCTAGGTTAGAACTTAGTGATCCGCGGGCGGCAGGCCTACTTGCCGTCCGCCACACACACACTCTCTCTTCTTCCTCAACAAACTGATTCATCAGAGCCAACCCGTGACAGCAACGGTCCAGATTCACCCAGATTCAAGCCTAGTCTGCATATGAAAATTGAAAAAAAAAAAAAAAAAAAAAAAAAAAAAACCTGAAACAGCTTGCGAAATCCTCCCTCTCTCCGGAAAACCCCGACGGCACGATCACCCGCGTCCAAGCAATTTCCATCATACCCTGCAACACCCGATCCCAAACTTTCCTTACCTGTCACCGTTCTATCCAGCGTCTCTCTCAACCACATCACAACACCTGGGTTCGCCCTGGATTCCTTCCCCCGAGAAGCACTGGATCATTAGTTCCTCATTCATCATCAGTCCACCACAGCTACTCTCGTGTTACTTCCATTGTGGAGGTTCACACTTGCAGTGCATCCACCAATGCTTTCCACAACTTCTGCGTTGATATGTATTCATCGAAACCGGTGGTCGTAATCGTGTCCGTCGATTACCGTCTCGCTCCAGAGCACCGGCTCCCGGCGGCCTACGATGATGTAGCGGCGCCCAATCCAGTCCGAGGTTCTTCCGGCGGCGGCCGACCCCAGGAGGGAGTAGACGTTGAGGATTCCCATCAGGACTTCCAGCTGGACGCCGGAGATTTTAAGGTCATCCTTGATGAACAGTCCTGCTCCACTCATAACTCCTATGTCATAACCGAGTAAGATGGAAGTCATGGAAGCTAAGGTGGCACACGCCAAAGCAAACATGTTTCGTTTCGGTTTTGGCGCAGGATCGAAATCTGGAATGGGTTTTTGGGGTTCGCCGGAAAACCCATTATTCTCAAGCTTCCGGTCTGCCATCCTTTGGAGAGAGGGAGAGAGAGAGAGAGAGAGGTGTATATGAAATGAAGGTGTGTGTTGATGATGGAGGGTTCTGCGTGAGTTCACTGATTTTTCAAGCTGTTTTCTCATGGGCGTTAGCGCTGGTGGAAACATAGCCTACCACACGGATAGAAAATCTATGGATGCTTTCAAAGATAAAGCAACTTCAACACGCCAGGCACACATACACACACACACTTGCACTATACCAACCTATTTTAATATTTTACCATCCACTATCCTAGCCCACAGGTTCCGACACCCCCCCTGATTTATTTTATTCATCACTTTGCTGGATACTGTGCACATTCTCATTCTCTTTCTTCTTATTTTTATTATTATCACATGGCCATAACCCACTTTCTGATGCAACATTTTTTTTTTATTTTTTTAATCACCCCACTCCCTCTCGTTCCTTTTTCTCTCCCCCAGAATCACTTTAATCATCTCCCTCATTTGCCTTACTTTATCCCCCCATTCATACATTTTTTTTTTATTATTCTTATTTTTATTCTTCTTATTATTCTTTGCACCCAAAACCAAAAAAAAAAAAAAAAAAAAAAAAACAAACAAACACACAAAACAACCTACACAAACAAACTCGTTTTATTTCTTCCACTGGCTTCCCACACTTCATTTTCTTTATTTTTATTATTATTATTTTTCCAAACACACACAAAAAAAAAAAAAAAAAAAAAAAAAAAAAAAAAAAAAAAAAAAAAAAACCAAAACAAAACAGATTTGCCCAACAACTTTGTTTTATTTATATTAAGGATCCACCCTGATCCCAGTTCTCCACATACAAAAACACAAAAAAAAAACAATACAAACCAACACCCACATTCACAGGTGGGATTTTTCTTCTCTATTCTGCCGCCGGTCTTTTCTTCTTGCCTCCGTCCTGGGCGGCCCTTACCGGTGTTGCCTCCGTGTTTCCCAATCCACTGCGCACGTTCACTACTTCCTGCTCCTCCACTGCAGCATATGGCGGCCCTCCAAATCGGAACATAACGGTGGCCTTCCGCTTCAGCTCCTTGTTTTCTGCCGTTAGCACACTTATCTCTGCTCGCGCATCCTTATACATGCGTTGGAGCAGAGCCAGCTGGGCGTTTAACTGCTGCACCTCATTTGTCCTACTCTGCAGCCGGTGTGACAGGTTTGTGACCGCCGTCATGGTTTCCACACATGACTTCAACGTATACTGATTGGCCTCCACATCCGACTGCACCGCCATTTTTTGCTCCACAGAACGCATCGGAAAGTTCAGCGGAGCAAACCCCGCGGTGTTTGGTTGAGGTTCACTGGCCACCGCGCCAGTTCTCTCTCTTGTTGACTCGTTGAGATCGGGAAAGAGGGTGAGCAGTCCACGGGAAGACGAGGCCATTTTCTGATCTCAACAGAGTGTTACAGACTATCTCTCTCAGCAAAACGACCTCTCTTTCTCAGCAAACCGAAGAATTTTTCAGAGGTTTCTCTCAGTTTTTCTGTCTCAGCTTCTGCCTCCTCCGCTTCGGTTTATAAAGACCATGACACAGAGGCAGCCACGCGTATCGCGCGCCTCTTGACGCCAGACAAACGGGCACGCCAGCCAAAGCACTCACGTGCCTTGCCATCATATCTGGCACGCCTTTTGATGCATCGGGCACGCCTTTTGATGCATCGGGCACGCCTTTTGATGCATCGGGCACGCCTTTTGACAGATTGGGCACACCTTTTGAGGGCACGACTTTTGAGGGCTCGATATCTACATCTGTCTTCTACATCGGTCTGACATGACCCCGTAAACTGTCTTCTACATCGGTCCGACATGACCCCGTAAACTGTCTTCTACATCGGTCCGACATGACCCCGTAAACTGTCTTCTACATCGGTCCGACATGACCCCGTAAACTGTCTTCTACATCGGTCCGACATGACCCCGTAAACTGTCTTCTACATCGGTCCGACATGACCCCGTAAACTGTCTTCTACATCGGTCCGACATGACCCCGTAAACTGTCTTCTACATCGGTCTGACACGACCACACAGTGTCTGCTACAACTGCTACAACGGTCCGACATGACCCCGTAAACTGTCTGCTACAACGGTCCGACACGACCATACAGTGTCTCCTATCCCATTTTTAATTGTCAGTTTATTTTTCTGTTTTGTTATTCTCTCCAAACTCAAGTTGGCTAGTACCTATCCTCCTTGAGTTTGAGGGGGCTGTTAATGTACATTGTATAATTTACCATCACCTACCACACACTCACCTACTATACTCACCTACCACCACCATCCACTACACCTACATCTATATAAGGAACCATTTGTAATAGACAGTAGATCAATCAATAGATCAATCATAATACATACAATTTTTCTCTCTCTTTCAATTTATCTTACAGAATTCACTCCTCTTTCTAACCTTTCTACTTTCCTGGCAAGCTGTTGAACAGAGGTTTCTATAAGACTTCTGTATTTTCCTTCTCAAACCAGTAATAAACGAACACCCAGACTAATATGTATAATCTGAAAAGTGGATTTCATCAGGTTGCTATGTCTCTTTTGCATGTTGTGCACTCCGGTCTTCTATCTTCTGGTAATGGGTTCTGTTGGTCCCATTCATGCTGACAATGGTAGATTTCCGATGTGACTTTAATTTGTGCCCTGTATCCTCCTTCCTTTCCAAGCCAATAATATTTATCTTCTTGGAGCATGTAGATTGTCTCCATCAGACCTCCGCCAATGTGTTCAGTATCATCAGTCAAACTTGGAGTAAATACTACTATGACCAATCTTTGCCATTATAGTATTTATACCAGGCAGACTGTATTGATCCTTATGGGTGTTATCATTCAATCTCTTGTAGTTACACACCATTCTTTCTTTGCCACGTTTCTCCTCCTTTGTGACAGGATCAATATACGTACCAGAATTTACAATGAATGCAGTGGTACGATGCCGACTTTTGCTTGGCCTGATTACTTTGAGCTGAAGAAGCTGTTCAATGTGTTTTCTTAAAAACTGATGGTTGTTCTTCAAAGAACAAAAGTGTTTCCTGCCGATTGTGAGCTTCATTCTGAATAGAGTTTGTATCATCTTCAGAATTCATAATTTCATTATCATTCTGATCATATTGAACTGGATCTGCACGCTGGGCGGCTACATAATCACCAAATCGCAGGCTGAAATTTCCGCCAGGAAAACACATTGAACAGCTTCTTCAGCTCAAAGTAATCAGGCCAAGCAAAAGTCGGCATCGTACCACTGCATTCATTGTAAATTCTGGTACGTATATTGATCCTGTCACAAAGGAGGAGAAACGTGGCAAAGAAAGAATGGTGTGTAATTCCCAAATATTTGTCATAATTTATTATTGATTCGGATAAGATTATACATATTAGTCTGGGTGTTCGTTTATTACTGGTCTGAGAAGGAAAATACAGAAGTCTTATCCAATAAAACTACCGAGATGATGCTCATCATCGAGTTTATGTTCATCGATCTGAAGAAGCTGTACTTTGCGTAGGAGATACGCAAATCGAAAGACCCTTCATACTTACCAAGAATGGTGGAAAAGGATGCCCGCAATTTATGTGACATTCGAAGAAGTACTGAAGGATTTGGAAGCACGGGGAAAGCAGCTTTAGAGTACAGACAGGAGGATTCAGACTCTGACTCTACGCTCAATATAATTGCTATGATGGAAGAAGCAGATACGGAGTACCCTCAGATAAAGAAGTTGGAAGCGTTAATTGCAAAACGACATCAGCTGGGACTGATTCAGAGTCTACGACGCAAGTTGTTGCTCCTGTGTCCAGGATTGCGTGTAGAGAGATCTTCTGAAGACCAGGAATTTCAAGTTCCACCGTGAGGTTATAGAGCATATTCTTCTTTTTCTCTTTTACCTCTCCTCCAGCTATCATTTCTTCAAGAGCAAGAGCTGTTTCCGGAACTTCCTTAAATCGAACATGAGTTTCTTGTTCCAATGCTTCTGCTTCCAAATCATGGAGCTCTTCTTCTTTATACTTTCCTTTTCTTCTGAGTTCCCGTTCATCATCTTGTAATTGCATTACTGTCTTGAGTTCTTCAAGCTCTGTTTTGTATTGAATTGCTTCCTCTCGAAGCCTCTTCATTTCAGCTTCACACCATCGAATGTATTCTTGTTGCTCCTGGAGTAATGGTTTCTGATTATAAGGAATTGGAGTCTTTCGAGTGATGAATGATGTGAAATTAAAGTAAGGCTTGGCACATAATGCACATGTCAAGGCATTGCATTTGTTACAGAAAGCCTTTGAATATGAAGTTAGATCTCTTTTGCATGTTGTGCACTCCGGTCTTCTATCTTCTGGTAATGGGTTCTGTTGGTCCCATTCATGCTGACAATGGTAGATTTCCGATGTGACTTTAATTTGTGCCCTGTATCCTCCTTCCTTTCCAAGCCAATAATATTTATCTTCTTGGAGCATGTAGATCAAAGTCTTAGTCCCCATTATTGATCAACAGTGTCTGTCAATAATGCTGGTCAATAATGCTTGAAGAATAGGAAGGACGTGGTGGGTCCCAGTGTTTGTCCCAGTGTCTGTCAAATAATGTAATAATATTCCACTTCAATCACTACTCAGCTAACCACTGAGAAAAGGTGTTGGAATATTAGTTTGTCGTATAGTGTGTTTTACATTATTCAGTCCTGTAATGATAAGATTCTTGATAAGGTTTGCGATAGTACGACGATGAGGCCCAATGAGCACTCGGCACGTATCCCCTACCTTTATTAAGCTTATCTTTTATGGGTCTATAAATAGAGTCGAAGTTTAGAAACTCAAGCATCAAGAGAAGTTAGAACAACTACACTTGTATACTTGAGATAGAGTGAGTAAATCAGTCTTCCGCTTGTAGCTCCAGCTTGTAATCTTAGCTTATTCAGGTCTGTAAAATTTCTATATAGTTCTTATTTTACTTATCCTGTTTAGTTGAGATTTTCTACGATCCTCCATTTGGTATCAGAGCTAGTTTTGTTTATGGCTAACTAATTCTCATTCAGGATAGCAAAGGCCTCTGATGGTATGATATTTTATTCCAAACTGATATATTTAATTTCTAAAGTTTGTATCTAATGAATTATTGCGAAAGGTAATCTTATGCATATCAAGGCAAAAGTGTTAATTTATTGCCAGGGCAAAGGAAGGAATTAATGCTAAAACTTTATCTATGGCTATCTTAAGGTTTAATAATTTGTCTTGTGGTATTTGAAGAACAAAAGACGTAAGAAGGCAACAGGCAGGAGGCCGCAGTAAGCCCTTCAAAAAGGTGAGTTCCATAATACCTAAGAAAATCATTAAAGACCTTGGTAGTTTTATTGGATAAGACTTCTGTATTTTCTTTCTCAGACCAGTAATAAACGAACACCCAGACTAATATGTATAATCTTATCCGAATCAATAATAAATTATGACAAATATTTGGGAACATAATATAAAGGAATGGTATGAAAAATCAGATACATCACGCCTAAGCTATCTTGATTTAGCCCATACTGAAAAACCCAGTACTAAAGAACTAGCTCATAATATTGCTGTCATCTATGATCGTGTCTGTCTCTCCAGTAAAGTCAACCTGAAGGAATTTAAAAATCAACAAGTTCAAATTCAACTCTTAGAAACCTCTGTTCAACAGCTTGCCAGGAAAGTAGAAAGGTTAGAAAGAGGAGTGAATTCTTTGACACAGGTCTGCTTGGAAAACCAGTCTTGGAATCAACAAGGACAGTTCAAATCCATAGAAGAGACTCTTCAACAGCTCAAAAGAGCGTTGATTGAATGAGTCAAAACGACTTGGTGTATTTAGAAGCCCTCAAAGCGTCTGAAACAACTGAAGCACCAGGAATTGGTTTATTGACTTCTTCTGATAAATTGTCTGTACCATCAGGAGTAAAAACCCTGATCCGTCAGAATAATACAATCATTGAACTTTGTGTTAAGTTGTCAAAACAGGTAGAATCCCTTGAAGGCAGGATTCGTGCCTGGAAGCTCAGAAGTCACCAGCAATAGCAACTGACGATTTTGTTGCCTTAAACTCAAGAATCTCTCACTAGGTTGCAAGGAGAAGCCGAAGAAGCAAAAGGACTCCTCAGAGTTCATCGTGATCCAAACAAGTTTGCTGCAGGAACGAGCTTGACAAACTCAAGGCCTTAAAAATTCATAATGGCCTCAACCTCAAGAAAACTCGGACGGCTAAAACTTTACCACGATGACCAACCAGCCTCGAACCAACAACAGCAACACCTGGAGCCACCGCTGTTTGAAGATCAAATCAAGAAGAATACGGCAGACCAACGAAAAGGAATTATGTTCTGCAAGAAGAGCAAGAAATGGCACTTCAAAGGATAAAGAGGACGCCTTCAACATCAACACCTTGAAAACAACAGATCTCTCCAGAAGTTACAGTTACAACAGGGTGCTATCCATGCGGAAAGAGCCAAAACATAGCACAGCTGAGGTTGTTATACAGCAGACGAGATGATGCTTCATCATCGAGTTTATGTTCATCGATCTGAGAAGCTACTTTGCCGTAGGAATACGCAAATCGAAAGACCCTCATGACAGGAAGAAAGCTTATGGAAGAATTGAGGAGAAGTCATATCAGTACATCCACCTTGAGTCATTCAAATAAGACTTCAAGTTCTCATGCATCGAATTGAACAAGAAATCTTGCGGTCCTAGTCTTAGGGACACAAGATGGACAGGAGATCAAGCCCACCTTCGCATCCAAGGAGGTTGATTTTAAACTCGAGGAATACAAGATGGTCTACCATAGTTCCAAATACTTATTGATGACTATGGGACTTCTACAATCACGTGCAAATGTCCACTCAAACTCGAGGATTATAGTAAAAATATTGGCAAGAAGGTGAAAGCCAAATCTGCTTGATCACACGAGATTAGTTGGACGATTAGTTCTAACACTCCTAATGTTGGATTTGCCTATAAATTCAAGGAGTAACTAATTCCTCAACTTCCCGAGTAAAAGCAAATTCCAGGAGTTAGATTGCAAATTCCTACTTGATGTCCATACTGAGGAAGAAAATTGGATCATACTCCACCAGCCAGACGTGTTACACCCTCAACAGCCAACACGCTGTATCTCGCAATTTACCTGGCGGGAAATTTCAGCCTGCGATTTTGGGTCATATGTAGCCGCCCAGCGCTGCAGATCCAGTTCAATGATGATCAGAATTGATTAATGAAATTATGAATTCTGAAGATTGATACAAACTCTATTCAGAATGAGCTCACAAATCGGCAGGAAAAACCACTTTTTTCTTTTGAAGAACAACATCAGTTTTTAATAGAAACTCTGACCAGGCCATGCGCTCGTACACAGTTATTCTCCAGCAGCGACAAACGGAACGTGCGGAAATTGGGCCAAGACCACAACCGGAATCCGAATCTGAATCAATACAACCACAATCTCGTCCGCGTCTTAAAAAGAAGAAAAGGCAAAAAAGCAGGACCGAATTTGACCGAACTTGTTACCCCATGAGTGAGTATGAAGAACTTGCACTAATGTTCAATTTATCAGACTACTACCACAGGCAACCAGGACCCACTCGAGCAACTGATGGAGCTGTTGGTTATGATTTAACATCAATAGCCATTTATTATAA